TCTACATGTAATTTATCGTATAAACAACGAAAGCAGTTATTTATTGTCTGTTTTGGATAAATTATAAATACAAGAAACTTCAAATTTAATTAATTAAAACAAAACTGGTGACATGCTAGGCTGCCCAGCTGACGGACGCCATGAAAATGTTAATGTCACTGTTCGATCACGAGTGTGAATTTTAAAAATCGCTGTCTCGACGTTCATAATACGAAGATAATCAACTCAGTTTGTATCGTTTAGACAGGGAAAAGAAACGTACCTCAAACTCTTGCCCTATAAGCATCAAATTCATATTTACTTTCTATATTGTTCCTCAATCTTTGAACAAACAATTGCAAATCGAAGGCGTCGTCGGTCTGCAACTTTCGCTATGAGAGTTGTCGTTTATGTCAACATGACCATGGTCAAGGACGAACTATTCTGAAGTAAACTCGTAATTACGATATTTGTTGACTTAAACAACATTCGATAAGTCTTTATAAGTTTATTTATCGATTGTTTTGACAATTTAAGTTGAACTCTATCGAAATTCATCTCGATTACGTTCCTTTGCGGTAAAATGTATTCATACGCCGTCCAGAACTAACGGATTGTATGGAGGCCTCAAAGAGAAATAATTTGAATATTTTTAAAAATTCGATATTGGAATTATAAGAATTAAACGTTCTTTTTGAAAAATTTATCGATGTGTAAACTCTTGACATTTTACTCACAAACTTAACATAAAAGTGCTTCGCACTTTTATTCAGTTTGTGAGTAAAATGTCAAGAGTTTACACATCGATAAATTTTTCAAAAAGAACGTTTAATCCTATAATAATTCCAATCTTCATTTTATCTATTGATTTCCTGTGTTTTGATTGGACGAGAACACGTTCCAGAAAATTTTTACACATCGATAAATTCTTTCAATCAGAACTACTTTCTTGATGACACTACTAGGTTATCGTATAAACAATGAACGCAGTTATTTCTGGGTCTGTTCTGGCTAAATAATGAATACAAGAAACTTTAAATTTAATTAGGGCTTAAACAAAACTGGCAACATACTAGACTGCCTAACTGATGGACGCCGTGAAAATGTTCATGTCACTGTCCGATCACGAGTGTGAATTTTAAAAATCGCTCTCTCAACGTTCATACGTAGAAAATAAGCTTAGTCTGTATCGTTTTGACAGGGAAAAGAAACGTACCTCAACTTGCCCTATAAGCATCAAATTCATATTTACTTTCTATATTGTTCCTCAATATTTGAATAAACAAGTGCAAATTGAAGGCGTCGTCGGTCTGCAACTTTCAGTTGTTTGTATATGTCAACATGGCCATGGTCAAAGACGAACTATTCTGAAGTAAACTCGTAATTACGATATTTGTTGACTTAAACAACATTCGATTAGTTGTTATAAGTTTATTTATCGATTGTTTTGACAATTTAAATTGAACTCTATCGAAATTCATCTCGATTACGTTCCTTTACGGTAAAATGTATTCCTACGCCGTCCAGAAATAACGGATTGTATGGAGGCCTCAAGAGAAATAATTAAAATATTTTTAAAAATTCGATATTGGAATTATAAGAATTAAACGTTCTTTTTGAAAAATTTATCGATGTGTAAACTCTTGACATTTTACTCACAAACTTAACATAAAAGTGCTTCGCACTTTTATTTAGTTTGTGAGTAAAATGTCAAGAGTTTACACATCGATAAATTTTTCAAAAAGAACGTTTAATCCTATAATATACACTTTGTGTACGTCATTGAATTGATACTTTATGTACCTCATTGTAGAGATACCTTGTGTACATCATTGTATTCATTGTATTGATGATTGATTTGACTATTGATTGTATTGATGATTGATTTTGACTATTGATTGTATTGATGATTGATTTGAATATTGATCAATAAAGCCATGACAAAAACTGCCAATCATTCTTGATCTATTTTGTCGACATAATCGTTTGAGGTACATGTAGTCAGGTCTTTGTTACATTGTAAGTTTTACATTTTCTATTTTCTTGGTAGCTAAATCCGGTGTTGATCTTTTTGGTTGATTTCAATATTTACATTTACTTTGTTTGACCATAATAAAAAGCATTATAAAATTACAAGTGATAAATACACATAAGACACAAGACTTAATCACCAACGTCTGTCTGGCGTATGAATACAGGGACTTCGTCATTACTGTTTAAACAAAGTGAAAAAAAATATGTCTGTTATACGATTTATTTGTATTTCTGTTAAAAAAAATATAATTTATCATTTTAGATTGAAAAAATAAATCAAACTTTTCTTATTGCTAACTCTTATCATTGTGCACTATTTTTGTTTGCGGACTAAGCTGTTCCAAAGGCTGTTCTTTCAATTACAACTTACATAAAGAGGCAGGAATTTTAAATAGAAAAATCAAAATTGCGGGAAAATAAAGGGATAAAAAATGTAAATATAAGCATTGAATTATCATTTTTGTAAACAACAAATTTTCATAACGCGCTGACGCGCGTTACTCAATTTGTTTGCACACACCATTGCAGTTATGTACGAAAGCCTATTAGGATTAATCTAGAGAGAAAAAAAATTTAAAAGGCTTTATAACGCCTTTCGAAAAGGCGTAATAACGCGAAAAAAGGCATTATAACGCCTTTTGAAAAGGCGTTATTACGCCTTTCCGTTCCAAAAGGCGTTATTACGCCTTTTTAAAAGGCGTTATAACGCCTTTCTAAAAGGCGTTATTACGCCTTTCCAAAAGGAGTTATTATGCCGTTCCAAAAGGCGTTATTATGCCTTTCCAAAAGGCGTTATTACGCCTTTTACTTTCAATACATAACTAAACATATTTAGCCCAACCAAGGGGGGTATGTGTGTGTGTGCAGAAATCGTAACTTTGGGACATGAATTTCACAATTAGATATAGGACTAATTTCTCAAAAAATAATTTAAACAGATAGCAATTAGATTTCCAGGAAAAAAGATTTTTAAATGCGTCATATATTTTCAATGTTGAACCAACTAAGTCCTTCTTTCATACCAGGCACACCTCTACCAAGGGTCATTGATTTCAATTGCTCATTATACCCATGCAAATAGTTGCCTGCTTTTTTCCTAGAAGAGAGAAAAATATCTTCAAATGACATAAATTTTAATACACTGTACATGGCAAGCAAAGCTCCAAGATAAATCTGCCTATATTCTAGATCTTCACAAGTAGAGTGTTGCCTTCTCTTAATACGAATGCAAACAGGTGTCAGTGAGATGTGCAGGAATATAGAGAATTGCATAAATAAAGATGGTTTTAATAATATCTTTCTATATTTATTAACATAAGATAACGCCTTTTCTTTTTCCTTTTCATGTAGGCCAGTAATACGAGTGCGAATGGGGTAAACCCCACTCCAAACATACACACTTTTGAGGAAAAGTCTTGCAACAGTTTAAATATTATAATTGACTATTGGTTTCTTGGTTCCTGAACATGTTGTTGCAGTATGTAAAACTGTGACAAATTATTGCATTTAAATAAAGTTTTACCGAGTATTTCCCCCATGAATTTGGCCAGTGGAGTGTGTGTGTGTGTGGGGGGGGGGGGGCTATTAAAAGCACGGGCCTGTTAAATGCAAAATAATGATTATTCGAAAAGCGTAATAACGACTTTTAAAAAGGCAAAATAACGTCTTTTATAAAGGCGTAATAACGCCTTTTGGAAAGGCGTAATAACGCCTTTTAGAATGGAAGGCGTAATAATGCCTTTTAGAAAGGCGTAATAACGCTTTTTAGAAAGGCGTAATAACGCTTTTTAGAAAGGCGTAATAACGCCTTTTAGAATGGAAAGGCGTAATAACGCCTTTTAAAAAGGCATTATAACGCCTTTTGGAATGGAAAGGCGTAATAACGCCTTTTTTCGCGTTATTACGCCTTTTCAAAAGGCGTTATAACGCCTTTTTAATTTTTTTTCTCTCTAGATTGATCCTAATAGGCTTTCGTAGTTATGAGACTGCATCTTTCAAATCTTTCAAAAAATGATGATTCAGTGCTTAAATATTAACCTCAAAAGTCTGTGATAATACCTGTACATCGTTTTAAGTTATGTGATATGTTCATTGCTCCTAAATAACTACATGTATTTAAAAGCAAATAATTTATATGTACATTTGCAAATGTTTTAATTTACAAAGTCACAAATGTAAATATAAGTAATAAGGTATCATTTTAATTCATCTATCGGGCTATAAATACGGGTTGGCACGAGATTAAATTCATCATTTATGGAATTTAATGTCGTGAAAAACCCGTATTTATATCCCGATAGATGTTTAAAAATGATACCTTATTTCTTAAATAAATGTCATTGACTTAATGTATAAAGTTACAACAGATAAAATTATAATAATAATCATTTATGTGTTCCCGTATGGTTGATGATATGCTTCCGGTGATGAAATATCTTGAGTAAAACGTTGGAGTTGCATGTAAATTGAGTTTATTTTTAAGGTTGCCTTTACATGACTGTGACATGAACATCCGGTTTGTACTCACTGTACATGTTCTCACTTTTTTTATGGCTAAATTTATATAAAAAGGGCTATTTATTTACCTTTCGAAATGCTTATTTAAGATTAGATATTCACATATTGTATTTATTTATTTTTTGAACAGGTACTGTTTGATTTTCATGTGATGCGGCATATTTTTTTAAAATATTCAATTGAAAATTGGGAATCTGTTTATCCTCTGTTTACTCTTAATGAGATTAGATTTTTTAAAAAATGAATAAAGATTCAAAAATGAATAAAACGTATTTAAAAAAATGAATAAAGATTTTAAAATGAATAAAACATGTAAAATACGATAAAGTTTCATGTAAATTTGGTGCTGATTGTAAACAAATATATATCTTTTTTGAAGCTTTTACTTTACAATCCTTATAATAAAAAAAAAATGAAATAAATCATAATAATGCAAAATTATACAATACATGTTAACAAAATATAAAAATTCAAGTTATCAACGCAAGATTATTATAGGTAGTTTTTAGACTTTTTAATCAATAAAAACATCTTTTACAACGAAATAGGAGTAATAAACATTAAATACATCCTCAAAGACATATGTTGAATTTCTTTAAAATGTCCGCGATTCCTTGCCCGATTTTCTGGTTGACCACACTGTATACAATGGGATTTGTTGCGTATCCAAGAAAAAAGAAGTATCGAAACACCAAACTGTCATATATATTAAAAATTGCAAAGAAAAAGGGAATCCAGCAAATAAGATTAATAAATGTACACACGAACATCATGGTGGTCCAGGTTTTGGTTTGAACATAAGATGTACTTTTAGAGAAACGAAGTTTTTTCTTTCGCTTTTGAACTTTATTTTTCCTTGTTTGTCTGACTTGTAGGCCGTCCTCCTCAGATGACGTCACTCCTTCAACAGGCGATTCTGTCCTCGAGTGTGCAGTCGACCCCTCCGCTGTGTTTGGTTGTAGGTAGGTTCCTGGTTTTGATGAATAAGTTTCAATACTGTCGCCATTAGTTTTTATGTACAATATCTCCTGTCTTTCCTTGGGTTTTTGTGAATTTTCTGATGGCTGTCCAGAAGAATCCGAAGCTGAACGCCGAAAACGTTCCTCGTTGAGTGTGTAAAGAATTACGTAGACTATGACGTAAATTATTATCAGGAGCAGAAGTTCAGCTGATATCATGGTGGACAGGAAGTCCCTGTATATCTTACTACCATTATCGCCTAAAGTAGTCGTAGTATACCCACAAAACGGTTCCAATGTATCGGTGCTAAGATTGTTGAAGACCTTTGGTTGGTTTGTCTCATTTTTGGCTGCATTGTTACTATGAGGTGTCACTTCCATAATAAGTGCTGCAGGAACAGAACAAATTACCGATATCATCAGCACAGCCAGAATAAAGAAAGTCTTCATTTTTGTGGAAACATAATTTTTTGTTGGCTTCCAGACGCGTAATAAACGTTCAACGGCGATCAAAATCAAAATTAGGTTTGAGAATGCGACTGAACTATGTCGCACAACCTCCATTCCATGGCACATGACGTCATTGGTCACCATATTGAATTCAAAAAAGACGGTATAGGGGACAATAATGACATTGATAACCAAGTCTGCTACCGACAGAGTTAGTATATACTTCCGTACAGGAAAGGAAAGTTTCTAGATAAAGTATACACTGATAATAACAATATTCCCTATGATTCCGCAGGTAGCAAAAATTGACATCAACAATATAAACAAAATCTGATCGAAATCCATTACCTTTCTTTGTTTTCACAGGGGCATGTAATCGCAAGATTGAAAATATTTTTTTTTCTCTGGTTTATATATTAAGAAATCTGTTAGACCTTGTGATTTGCTGAGATTTTTCTTATAAAAAATTCTTATGATGCTGACAATGTGTCGGTCAGCTAAGTCTTACGGGGTGGTAAGTCAGCGTCATATATTATTCGTAGGTGATCTTTTCATCACTGACAGGGGTTTACCTCTGATCAAATCCTGTCTTAAGATAGATACTAAAGTAGCATATTACGTTTATCGCGTAAAACAGTCATAAAGTATCAAAACAATGCGTTCATTTATACAACAACTTAATGTGTAATTTGATACATACTTAAAATATGATTAAGTTAAATATTTCGTAAAAACTAATTTTTTTTTTGTTTTATTACGTTTTTATTTGATTCTGAAGTAGAACAGTTGGACTATATCATTATCTGTTAAGGGGGATGTACAAGCCATATTGGATCTAGTCTGGTGTAAACTAAGAAATACCAAGAATGCGCTTAATACTCTACTAAACTAGCTCAAAGTTACTCAAAGTGCTAATGCACTAATTATCGACTGTTAGAGACTAAAATTAGTAAACAATTAAGGTTATTTTGTCTTAATTAGAAGAAAATTAATCATGTTAGAACTGCGCAGCTACAGCATTCATGAGATGAAAAATGCATTGAAAATGGAGTTAGTTTGATTCATTGATAATATGGCTACAACCATTTGTTTCGTTTTTTTCTTGTCATTATCCATAATTCTTGAAAATTTGATTTTTCATATGGGTGTCTTCCTGAGGCCATGTGTTTATTTCGTCCGCCATTCCTCTGTCACACAGAGTTCGAATAACAATGATTTTAGAATAAATGCGACCATAATAACACCAAGACGAGAAATTACTAAGTAATAATCATTAGGTTATATTACTTACTACTTTTATTTGTTGCATCGCATCGTCTGATTAATGAAAAAACACGATTTTAACCTCACTCCAGCAAATCGGGAAAAACTGTTCTGTTTACAACTCGAAATTCCTCGCTAAAATTATTCCACTAACCACATGGTTGGCATGTGCATATATCTGCTGTGGATAAATCCGTTTATTACCATGATTATATTTAATTTTTCATGGAACAAGTCTTGATAATCTGTTGGTTTCTTTAAAACTCAAGAAAAAAAGATAAAAATGTCCTAAACATATGTGTTTACGGTGGGTCTTTTTTCTGTGGCGATAGAAGTTATTTTCAAATGGGGCACTGCAAGGAGGATGCTTAGCATTTAATTTGAAAATGTTAAACAATACGCAGTGCATGAAAAATAAATTGTAATTATATGTCTTACATTTGAAAAGTTGGTACATATGTCTATTTTGTTTATAAGTTAGATAGAAAAAAATAGGCATTTATAGGATTTCCTTCAGGCACCTCACATAAATAGCTAGAATGTTTGCAATGACCCACACATTGTATGGGGTCATGTTTGGACACAAAAACGCATCATGTCTCATTATGTTGACAACGTTGTAAGCTCTCGCTCATTGAACATACGAAGCTTGATAAAATGTAAAGAGTTGTTTCTATGAGATTTAGAAGCAAGCACAATGTTTGCAATGAAAGGTCCATTGCATATGCTATGTCTATCATCGCAAAAAAAGTGAGTGCTAACCCCCCCCCCCCCCCCCTCCCCCGAAAATCCTTTGTTTGTTTTTCAAAATAGTGTCAAAGATTAAAAAAAATTGCATTACTAAGTATGTGATGGAACATGTACTAGCCTTATAATACCACTTGTTATAAAAATATTTGGTTGCCCTCTCTCCCGATCTACTGCCTAGAAATGACCCGACTCATTTTTTTAAACATTCCATTACACGATATTTTTTTCTTTTTCTTCCGTAAACAATTCTGTTTAAATTTTCAGGATTTTTTTTCTCACCAATAAATACGGACCCAATAATTTTTCCCTGAGTTGGGAGGACCACCAAACATCATTTTAAAGATGTTTATAGGTTGATTTTTTCTCTTTACTTTGTACAATTGTAATTTTGAAAATATGGGCAAATAGAAAAAAATATTTATGTTCAAACTAAATAAATTACTTCAAGCCACAATATAACACCTTTCCTTTTTTAAAAGTGTTCATATTATTTGAAATATTTTGCAACTGTAATTCTCTTCTACATTTAAAGATTGTTATGCCCCTCCATATTAAGAAGAGGTCTGGAAAACAAGATTCTGTGCTAAAAATAGACCACGTGCTGCTATCCATGAACTACTTTCATGGTTCTTTTCACTCTTTTTGAAGACAATGGTACCTTGTTTTGAACTTGAAATTATCATTTAAAAGTGCAAAATTTAGACATTTTCTCAACAAATGGTTGTAGAGAGAACATTAATGCACAGTTTGCATATTTTTTTGGATTTTTTAAGGCTCTGCTGAATTCTGTAGCTGCGCAGTTCTAAGGAGCATATCAAAAGCATTTTTCTGCAAAAGTATAGATTATATATGCACAACATGCATTCGGTTATGCATATTTATTGTATCTTTATCAAAAAGACTTAAAATTTGATCAAAATATAATGTATTTTAGCCATTTGAAGAAATGTTTACATTTTGCTCTCACTGCACTAAAGGTGGCCGTACTGTCATGTTGTAAATTTTGAATTTACCGGGTGGCAGTAAATACAAAATTTTCATGTTGTAAATTTTGTATTTACTGCCACCCGGTAAATTCAAAATTTACAACATGACAGTACATCCCCCTTAAACTGATCTGACCTCTCGAGATATGAATGAGATACTAGACATATAACGAGCAGTTTATGCACATTCAAAAGAAACTCTATACATGTATATGTTGCTTGAGTAAATAAAGTATATATAAATTATACTGACAATATACGAACGAATAGTATTCAAATTATTTTTTTTATTCTCAGGAGAATAAGATGGAACATCAATGGACGATCAAAGTTTTACAATGGAATACAATGGGTGAAATCTGTTAAATAAATATAGAATAGAAGGACCATAAGTGACTCGGGTGAGCGATGTGGTCCATAAGACTTTTGTTTGAATTGTGTACTTATTTTTCATATTCATTTTAATTACAGTGTAATAAATATAAATTGATGAGGATAATTATTCAGATACACATATAAGAAAAGCCTATATATGACGTTTCCTGTAAGTGTGTCAGCGAGGTGGTTTTCCTGAAATCATTATACTATGGGTATAAATGGGATTTATAAATAAATTTTAATTCAAAACATAGCTTGATGAACACCACCGCAAGCGAGGGAAATTGAATTTATATATAATATAGTTACCATTAACAAGAGAAAATATATTGTACTTGCATGTAAATTGTACTTTTTACTGACTTATAGAAGGAAGAAATACTTCATTCAAAATCCTGCATGAAGTAGATGTACGTCACTAACACACCCACTTTTTGTTAAAAATGAAAAATAAATATTTCTTTAATTGATGCTTAATGAGGTTTATGTGAAACCTCATACGATGTTTTGGATATTGTACTTCAGATCTTTTTATTTCATTTTCATGAAGGATAAAAGCAGCGAATATACACAATTTACAAATAAATTTATTTGGGGGGCGGGGGTAAAAATTCACAGGTACTTGGGTCTTGGTTTATAATTAGATATGTACCTTATCGATGTGTAAAAAGGTTTTTTTTTTACCATATCAATAAGGTACATATTGTGTACACATTTATAAACCAAAACCCAAGTACACTTTGTACCATCATCTCAGGCCACGGTCCGGAGTCCGCATATAGCTCTCTCCAGATGGGAGAGGATCGTACATTTTGGACGTGGTTTGCGACGATGATTTTTTACCTGTGTAAAAATTAGCTTTATTATTTATTTATTAGCACCCGAGCGATCTACTTGGGCTCGTACTTGGTTAATGCCCAAGTCTTATGTGGACAATTATGAATGCAAAATATACAGATCAAAAGCAAAATATTTAAATATAGGGTACAAATGCTTAGTGTAAAGGTTAAGCAATATATCATGTAAATAGTTCATAAAGAAATTTCTGCCACTTGGCTATATGTACATGAATATTTTAGCACACCTGAGCCAAAAGCTGAAGTGAGCTTTTCTGATCACATTATGTCCGTCGTCCGTCTATCTGTCCGTCTGTAAACTTGTCACATTTTCGACTTCTTCTCAAGAACCACTGGACCAATTTTAGCCAAACTTGGTACAAAGCATCCTTGGGTAAAGAAGAGTTTAATTTGTTAAAGTGAAAGGTCAAGTCCCTTCACAAGGGGGGATAATCAAGAAAACACAAAAGTAGGTGGGGTCATAAAAAATCTTCTCAAGAACCACTGGGCCAGAAAAGCTGAAACAACCTGGTGTTGTGTAGATTCTAAATTGTTCAAATCATGACACCAGGGTTTGGGCGGGGCCATAATAGGAATCTAAGTTTTACATACTTAGTAAAAATACATAGGAAAAAATTTTAAAAATCTATTCAAGAACCTGGGGTAGTGTAGATTCTAAATTGTTCAAATCGTGACCCCCAGGGGTAGTGCATGCCACAATTTGGAACCCAAAGGGGACAATCTGTAAAAATCTTCTTCTTAAGAACCACTTGGTCAGAAAAGCTGAAATTATGTGAAAGCATCCTGGAGTAGTGTACATTCTTAATTGTTCAAATCATGACCCCCGGGTTTGGAAGGGGCCACGATAGGGAATCTAAGTTTTACATTGAAATATATAGGATTTTTAAAAAACTCTTCTCAAAAACTACTGGGCCAGAAAAGCTGAAAATGATGTAAATACATCCTTGGGTAGTTTAGATATTAAATTGCTCAAATCATGACCCCCAGGGGTAGGACAGCTAAGGGCACAATTTGGAATCCAAGTTTTACATCGAATTTCAAAGGAAAACAAGAAGCCCATGGGCCTTATAGGTCACCTGAGTATCATGTAACAACTTTCCAACAATTGAATGATTCGTGTTTTAAACCAGAGGCCATGAAATTCACAATTTTGAAAGA